AAGGAATTGTTACTTGTCCTTTTCATGGACTATGAAATGAAAAAAACAAAAACCTACTGGTTGAATGAATGGAGAAAAAAACAGAAAGAGGATATCATACCAGATAAAATTTTAGATCTAAGAAACTTTTGTAAGGGGCAATAAAGCAATAGCCATGAAAACTAAAAATTATGTATAATTTATAAACATTCACAAATAAATGGGTATTAGGTCCATTTGAGAAATTATTCTTATCACTCTATGATCCATAAAAGGTTTTTTGCTAGTGAGATAGGTATTTCAAACTCAAATTTTTTTCAGTTGTGAAATACCTTGTGTGAATATGGTAATTAAAAGAAGAAATTATATTAGATGAATTTTAATGATTTAGTCTTCAATGGACATATATTTATTGAGTTGTGGAAAAGACTCATTCCTTGCCCTTGGGAATTATCACCCACTAGGAAGAGAAATCAAATAAGTAATTACACAATTAAGTATTTAATTGAAACCTTAGGAAGTGTTGTGAGAGTATGGAATAGGGAAAAACTTAGATAGTTCCTTTTAGGAGTAGTGAAAGATGTCATGGAGGAAAAGATAGTTAAGTTTAAAGCAACTGGATAGAATGTCAGGATTCTTTTTTTTTAAAGATTTATTTATTATGCATACAAGAATTGGGATACAGGCCAGAGGTGTGGAGGGTGATAGGATTCACCAGAGACAGAGTGGGGAACAGAACAGGCGGATTGACTGAAATCACTGCTGAGGAGAGCAGAGGGCGAGACAGAAGAGGTCTGCTGTATCATGTGGGTAGCTCCCTGGCCGGGGATTGAACTCATGCTGCAGTGGCTGTGGATAGCTTCAGAGGTGAATCTTAACCCCTTGTGCCACCATGGAGACCCGAATTTCAGGATTCTTGAGTTACAAAAACGATTCTCTGCATGAAGATAGGCACCAAAGCATGATATACAATGTGGCAAATGGGGAAATTACTCAGTTCTCTGAGATAAAGTCACACGATAGGAAACTGGCTGTGATATCACACTCCTAAAATGTCACAGTGCTGAAGATACTAGGAAGTAAATAACAAGTGTTGACACACATTTCTTATTTAACCTGCCCATTGGCAATCAGAATAAAATCTCACTGTATACTGTTAGCTTCTGAGACCATGAATGGAAGGAAATGAACACCTAGACACCTAGATATCATTTATCCAATCCTAACATTAGTGGGACTTCCCTCCAGGAAGGAATGCTGATATTCAAACCTAATCCAACCAGCACTTCATAAATCACGTTTCTCCTAAAGAAAGTACACATGTGTAGATGCTATCTAATTAATTAAACAACAACCATTTCAGAAAGTGGAGTCACTATTTTGGTTTAAGAGCTGCATCCAGCTGTAATTGTGTATCTCCAAGATCTAGTTGGCTGATATGTCTTCATCTCTGTTTATCATTTAGTGTGTGTGCATCGTAAATAAGAGATCAGTCATATTTTAAGAGATAGGGAGGGAGGGTATAGAGTGGCAATTTTGTGATGACAGCACAGGTGGATAAAAACTGCCATCTGATCCTCAAAAATACAAACCACATATTTCAGTATCTTGTGAGTGGCAGTGTAAAACCATACTAAATTTTAGCAGATAGCATCTTCTAAATCCAAAATAAACAGGTGGACTATAGAAGTAGTAGAAACAGGAGCTAAAGTGAATCAGCTCTGGAGTCAGAGGGCCTGCCTTTTACCAGCTGTGTGATCATTCACAAGTTGCTTAATCTCTATGTTCTGACTTATCTTCTAAAGAAGTAAAGAGGATTAGACACATCACTGTGTGTGAAGTACTTAGAGCAGTCTCTGGATATCTAAAAACTCAATGAACAAGATTATTATTATAAAGGTAGTAGGTATTTTTTCCTTCTATTCCACTGTAAGACTTAAATATTTGTTTTGTCTTAAAGGCTCAAAAAGTACAGCAAGCAAGTGCCTAGAAACTTCATAGCGGCTATTTTACACTGATTTCTCCTTTTAAGTGTTTGGTGACCATTGGGAAGATTTGTAATGCATATTTGTTTTCTTCAGACTCATGATAACCTCCTTTGGTAATTTTGGACATTTTTATGACTTCAGTTACAACATGTTTTTAAAAATCTCAATCTATACTTCTTCCTTTCACCAAACTTCAGATTTGTATAACTGCTTATTACATATCTCCTGACATTTCAGACTCAACAGGTCCAAAGCTGAACTCATTCTCACACTTGTAAACTCTATCCCCTCCCTTACCATCTCTTAAAATATGACTGATCTCTTATTTATGACACACACACACACACTAAATGATAAACAGAAATGAAGACATATCAGCCAACTAGATCTTGGAGATACACAATTACAGCTGGATGCAGCTTTTCAACCAAACCTGGTCTTTTTCCTCTCATATGCTCAATCTCAATGTGAAGTGAGGACCAGGATTGACTCAGTTGACATATAGACTGGATTAATATGTATTTCTTCACAAACACACCACAAGTTAGAAAGAATGACTTTAAAAATTAGAAGAGAGTCATTCTTCAAACAAGTATAAGTGAAAAGCTATACTTCCTTTCAAGAATATTCAACAAGCTACTTCAAGCAATTACCTACTGAAAATAGTTCACCTAGTAACCAGGAACCTGAGGGCCATCTTGGTGTTCTTTTACTATCTCAGTACTCACAGTCTTGCTTTCATAATAAATTACCTGGCTTTTTTTTTTAAAGATTTGAGTATTTTTATACAAGAATTGGGGTACAGGCCAGAGATGCAGGGGGTGAGAGGATTCACCAGAGACAGAGCGGGGAACAGAACAGGCAGACAGACCGAAGTACGCTGCTGAGGGGAGCAGTGGGCGAGACAGGAGAGGTCTGTCCTGCCATGTGGGCTTCTCCCTGGCCGGCTGGGAATCTAACTCCTGCTGCAGTGGCTGCAGATTGCTTCATAGGCTGCGACTTAACCCCTGCGCCACCAAGATGGCCCTGGGGTTTGTTTTTAATCTATAAAAAATTCTTCAGGTACATGTTAAATTTCTTTTCCCCTATATTATTCAGGTTCAGGTATTCATCTCTTGCTGGGAATATTTCAACTGATTCCAAAACATCTTCTGGTCTTTTTTCTTTGCCTCAAGTCACTTTTTTACTTGGTTGCCTGATGACTTCTCTGGAATGCAAATTTGATCAAGTTTCTGCCCTTCATTACTGGCTTGAAACATTCCTTATAAGGTAATTTACAGGCCTTTATATAACAACCCTGCCCTCACCACTCCAGCTTCTTTTATAGCTTCTGTTGACTTCACAATTTGTTTCATAAGACTGAACTATGTTATTCATTTTTCATCCAGATCATACTGTTTGATGACTATAATTTTGTTTACACCTATATTGATCTCCTATTTATAACTCCTATTCATCCTTTGAGGATAATCTCAGTAGCATCTCTCTAAGAAGTTCTCCCTGACTCATTCAGGCTGGCCTAGATGAAAGCTCCCTGGGTTCCCATGGATCCCTGGTCCACACCTCACCCAGTTATTTACTGTGCTGTATTGCTAAGACAAGCTCTCTCACATTAAGTAGTAAATGCCTCAAAATCAGAGTTTCTATGTTTTGTATCCCTACCACACTACATCTGATTCATTGGCAATTAACAGTAAATGAGGTTAAGGAAAAACGTGCTGTAAATGTTCAAGCAGAAGTGAATAAGAGATTCTCAACACTGCCTGCATGTAAGAAACATCTCAAAATTTTGAAAATATGGATACGAACTACCTGCCCCAGACAACTTAAGTCAGAAGTCCTGCTTGGGGAGCCTGGACATTTAGGCATTGAAAACTCAAGGGATAATGTATAGGTGACTGGAAACCAATTGATTTGATGATTATTGGGCAAAGATTTGGTGGCTGATGCTGCTGGTGTTCAAGATACCATGCATCATATGATTGTTGGAATTATGCTTATAACTGATTTTCTCAAAATGTTCCCTACACTTTGAAAGGTTATTTTGCTCTGCATACAGGTAACTTAATTGACCAGACGTCTGTTACTCCATATCATTTAAGTTCTGGAAGGAGTGCCCACCACAAAGATACATTGCTTAAAGTAACTTGAAAACATACTAGCAATGGGAAGAAAGGCATTAGTTTTAAATACTTTATAAATTTGTGTCATGATAGTCAGGGGAAAAGATTCAAATATAAATGGTTCCTGGTTCTCTTAAAATGCCACTTCTATCATTTTCAAATCTATTATCTCCTTGTCTATGGTGATGATGGTAACAGGCAGAGGATTTGATTTTCTTTTATATCTGTGTCTATCATAATAGAGGCAGTGCCACATATCAATTTTAGAAGCTTTTATAATTAACAGTATATGATGTAAGTACTACATGGAAATAGGCAGACTGATTTGGGATAGTGTAAAACTTGATGGCAGTGTGAAAATAATGCACATGCAGTAGAAATCCAATGTGCTTTCAGCTGTGTACGTTAATGATGGAAACCATGTAACCATTGTTTTCCACTTCTAATACAGTAGTCAGTAAATTACATATCATATCCAACATTTTATTGCCCACCTTGAGGCTAATGTGTCTTGAGAACATGTACAAGATAGGCTAGGTTAAACTATGGTGTTTCATAGATTAGGAGTATTAAATGTGTTTTCAACCTGATATTTTCAGTTTATGGTGGTGTTTATGTAGATATAGCCCCACAGTAAGTGGAAGAAGATCTATATTAGTATTTGTGGTGTAAAAAGTAACTATAGTTTTCCAATAAAGACTGCTTTTTAAGAACAGAAATACACTCAAATATGGAACATGTTTTTATGTTTAAAAACATGATCATGTTGAAAACTAACATAAAAGCATAAATGATCATCTAAGTATTAGAAGAGAAATACCTAGACTCTTGCAATCCCAAAACTAATATGCAAACTCTCAATGATTTTGATTAAAAAAGTTTAATGAGCTGTAAAATAAATACACTTCCATTAAATATTAAATAAATTATTTACAACTTGAAAAAATACTTTTTATCTCCATGCATCTTTATGTACAGAAATAAGACTCAGCATAAAAAGTGACAATTGAAAATTTAAAACCATCAGAACAAAAAGGTTCTGTTTTCTTATACAGAGGAATCAACTCATCACTCATGGTTGTGACTTGGCAGTGATTCTGATCTGATATCCTGTAAGAAAACAAAATAAAATAAAGTATTAGAGATAAAATCAATTCCTACATAGCTTTAATAAAATGTCAAAGAATAATCAAGGATCAAAAATGTTGTCATATTAAAAAAGATTTCTTATGAAAAATGCTAAAAGGTTTTCAGAGACAAAATATTACTTTGATTTGATTCTTTCTTGCTAGCTTTGGTTATATACCTACTGAGGGAGAAGACTACATATGCTCACACCTACTTCATAAAATTCTACTTAATAAAAAAGCAACAGTCATGAGAAATAATTTTCCTAACCAAATCTATGCAGTGGACATAATTAAAAACAAAGATTAAGTGGCTCACTGTATTTATGATATACAGTTAATTTAGGATAATTAGTACCGAGGACATAATAATAGTAGCTACCAGTTAATAGGCAGCCACTATATGCCAGCATAGCATATTCCTTTTCCTAAAATCATTCTGGGACCTACTTTGAGAACTCTCAATTGCACTAAACAATAAAAACTTCACCCTCATTCATGTTGGTGATCTTAGCTTCAGCATATTATATCAATACATTAATGAACTTTGATGTACTGAGTATACCATTGACATGAATCATTATCCATTTTTGAGTTATTGAGCTCATTCTGTAATAGGCTCAGAATACATCTGCATTTAACCATGCTCGATGTAGTGGTTCCAATAGAGTGTTAATTAAAAATGAGATAGTGACTTCATAGTTTTAGGGCTTGGTTTAGAGATAGGCATGTTTTTTATTAATTTATTTTTTATTTTTTTATATCATTGTTCGTTTTTGTACCATATTTGATTTCTCCCCTCAGATGTAGCCTTCATAATTCTCCCACCACCAGGGCACCCATAATCCATAACCATAGTTCCTTGTGCTCTTCTCTCCCTTGTTGTGACCCCTCCACCTCCCCCCACCCTTGTTGTATGCCACGGATCTATCATTTGCCTGCATGTTTTGTTTTTTTCTTATCCTTTTTTTTAGTTTCCCTTAGAAATAAGCATTTTTAAAAGCATCTCAAGTACTTCTGAAACCCATTAAAGGCAGAAAATCAATGACTTAATGATAGCCAAAGAAATGCAGTTCCTCTGATCTACGTTAAGAGTACTTCTGATCTCCTTGCCTCCCTCTTGCTCTGGAAGTTTGTTTTATTGGCTGTTCACATTAGTGATCAATGAAATACCCTCTTTTCTATACCTCCTACCTTCTTCCCAAAATGCTGTTTTCCATCTTACCAAAAAATCAAAAATAAAAACTATATACCCTGACAAGCTGTTAAATTTGTACCCTTTCTCCCATTTCTACTTCACTTTTCAGAAGAATATTCAACTTGCTGCCTCCACCACCTCCCCTCTGCAGTACCAAGCACTAGATTCTGGCTCTCCACAATATGAGCTCAACTCAGCATTTCTGCTTTCTCTCCCACCACGTGGTGCTCATTTGAACTAGGACCTTTTCCACAAGTTTCTAAAATTACCTCATCTATCTTGCTGTGAAAATCTTCCTTCCTAGCAATCTTACCAGTCCTCTGAATTCACTTCCAACATTACATGGTAAATAGAGACTTTCATCCAACAAGCACCCCACTGGGTTCTTTCTATCCTTCATTGAAAACTCACCCATATCCCATAGGGTTCTTTAATGATGACATCTATTTTACTTTCTCTAATATTCTGGTTCCTTACACATTTTTCTTTATCATTAAACACTGAATTCTTTGAGAACAGGATCTATGTCTCGCTCAACTTTATATCTGTATGATTATAATGACTATGTGCATAGTACGTTCTCAATATTGAATTTATCTCATACTAAAGAATAACACTTTAATGCAGCCCTGTACACAGTGGTTCCACAATTAAGAACATTTTACTCATTTTTCTTGATAACCATCTATTTCTCAAAGTTATGGTCTATGACCTAAAGATATTTTTTTTAAATGCAAACCTGTAGTAATAATGTCTTCAGTTATGCTATGACATGTGCATTTCCATTTTCTTGTCGAAGTTTCTTTCGTTCTTCAGCTTCTCCTTCATATTCCCTGAAGTATTGTTTTCGAAGCCTTCAAAGAACAAAACATTCAACGGTCATAAAAGTTTTGTTTATCTGTATGTTGACAGAGGTTTTCAGCAGTACAGGGAATTCCTTTCCATGAGTCCTTACAAGCCATTAAGCACTATACATTAACCAAAACCTAAAATCAGCTATAACATATTCCCAATATTTTTGTAAATGGGATGTTCTTGTTTGACTTTATATACTGACATTAAATAGATGTGCTTTGAGATGCAAATCTTCAGAAATAAGGAACACATCACATGTATATTTTTGCCCTAATACTTAGCATAGTTGCCATGCACAATTAAAGGAAGATGATAACATAGGCTAACCAAAGGTTTGGTTAGATTTATGCTCAGACAAACCAATTTAAAAGATTGAAGTTCTAAACAAGCTTACAAAACTAGTTGAGTCTTATTTATTTCTAAATATAATAAATGGTTCCTTGTTCTATTTACTGCTACTTTCTATTAAAAAACTCAACGGTATAAACATTTCTTGGTGCTGTAAAATCAGTTCTATTTTAGCAGGTCTTTAATCCATCCTAAACATTATTAAAATCAAAAAATGTTGTGGTGTTTGGGAAAAATTCGATATAAAAAACAGCACAGCGGTGGCTTAGTCTAGCCATTTGTAATGTGTTTAAAAATGCAAGGTGAATATGGGAGAAATGTTGCTACTTTGTTTATAAGAGTACGAACAGTTTTTCCATACATTTACAAAGAAATTCTAAATGTTTCAACTTAAATCATTACAATTGAAGCAATTATTTCAAAACATCTTCCCTAACTGGCATTTTTTTTCTTTTATCTTTCTATGTCAAAATAATAATAGTTTATCTGAGAGTCTCTTTCCTAAATACTTTTGCCTACCTGGCTTGAAGTATGAGCAGACCAAAATAATTTCCATGATGTGCAAAACAAATTTAAATCACACATCAAACTTTATTGTATTATAAAACAGATTTTTATGTGTCATTTTATCTGATCTGCATTTAAAATAATAGTAAACAATGGCAGTAGATAACCCCTTGTTTCCTAAATGGCAGGAGTGGTAGATCATATATTCAATCCAGTTGTTAAAGTCATTTACCAAGACCTAAAATTAGAATAATGAGTCTATTGCTTTTCCCAAGCTCTAGTAGCTCATGAGTCATTACAGAGCCATTCATGTCCTCCCCCAACTTCCTTCACTCACTGACTTCTGTTTGACAGACAATGACATTTTAACATACCCACAGTGTCTACTACCTGGAACAGTCTAGTTCTAACATTCATTGGTCATGCAATGAATTATGTGATCACACTGACATGTGTTATTGTGAACACAGGTAAGATACTGCTGAAGTCAAACAGTAACAGAATTGTCCCTGCTTCCTACACCAAGCCATATAGAGGAAATGTGTGTATTTTGTCTTTTAATAATTGAGTTCCCATATTGTACTTGATATAACAAAATTGGTATTAGCTCTAAGTCAATCAACATAGTGCTATGAAATTCATCACTCAGAATTTTGCATTCTAATAGGATCTTTTCTTGACTACTTATTTGAAGCTCTTTTTGATTTTTAGCAACAAAATGTATCTTTGGCAACCTCCTATGAATCAGGCTTAATTAGCTTCTGGGAAACTTGCATAACATTAGTACCAGCGTTCTAAGATTTGGAAGTAACCATGAATATCGTATGGTTTCATTTAACATGAAAAAACTTCAATTTTTAAGTTTAAAAAATTTCTAGATTTTTTGAAAAAGGGCTTTAAGTATTGTTTAAATGTAGACAAAGTCTTCTACATTTTGATCATAGTTTATGTTCTTTGTCAGTAAAGTATAAAGATCACATCCCACCAATAGAATAATTTATCTGAAATATGACAGAGTACATTGTGATACACATATTGATAAATGAAGCCTAGCATAATTTCATTAGGAATTTCTAAGTTATGCCATACTTACAGGATTGTAATAACAACAGCAATAGCTGTGAAGCTCACAGCTGACACAAAGGCAGCTATGGCTGCCAAAGCAATTTTTGACAAATCACTGTCAATCATGCTGTGAGTTTTCATGGACTTTTCCCCACACCGTTCTCCAAAGTAATCCTGATGACATCTGTAAGCAACCCACATTTTAAAATTACAATCATTGAAAACAGTCCATATGGTTCTTACTTTCCAGGTCAAAAATAGCCATTAATTGTAACACTAAATAAATAGTCATGCACATAATCTTATTTCAAAATCATGAGACACAGAATGATTTGAGCCAAAAATCTATTAGCATATAAGAACAGTCGAGGTTAGTTCAGGTGTGATATTCCAAGAAGACACACCTTTTCATTTTGTGTTCTCCTTTTATGACCAACTGCTGAGTTCAGTGACTTACAATGTAGTGGCTACAGTCCACTATTACTGAATATGCTACAGAATTGAAAGGAAGGAGACTGAAATAACAGTATGTGGAATTTAGATTTTTTAAAAGAGGTTTTATTTAGTATATATTATAAAATAGTTTGTGCTAGGAATTAGCAAACTATGGCCTATGGGTCCAATCTGACCATTTGCCAAGTTTTTGGAGGCTAAGAACTTTTGATATTATTACGTGGCTAAATTGAACTATTTACAAATACATACATAATCTTAACCTACAAAGCCTAAAATATTTATTACCTGGTCCTTTGAGAAAAAGTTTGCCAATCATTTGTTTAGACCTTGAAAAAATTAATGGTTCTCTAAGGCTAGGACTTTCAGGTATGCTGTTCACAAGCCAGAATTCTATATAATGTAAAAGAACTTACATGCATGTTACTGCTTCCAGGTGCTGTATATATTTACATTCTCCATGAATGCAGAAATTTTGAAATTCTGCATCACATGGATTTTTCTTCTTTCTGTTTCTTTTATTTTTTCCATCTTTGCCTCCCTTTTTCTTTCTTTTGGTTTTATCTGAAGTCTTTTTACTTTCTGCTTTGTTTTTCTTGGGCTTAATTACCTGTTCAACTGAAGAAAACAAACTTAGATTTATTTATACCAGCGATGTGAGAGAAAAAAGTTCAGACAGTGAAATCACAGCCATATTGTCTCATTTCATATATAATTTCATCCATAGTAACTGGGCAAAACAAATATCTGTATTTTGGACACTTAAAATTCTGAATCCCTGTGTTATTAGTTTATTTGTGTTTTGAACTTCCTGGTATCACTGTTTGTATTATTGATAGTAACTATGTGGCTATGGAAATCCATGAACTATTTTAAATATTTCTTGAATTTCTAACATATACCAAGGACCTGATGTTGAATATATTGCTACTCACAAGATAGATGAAGAATTTGAAATTGATTGAAGATAAGTTAATTACAACAGACAGATAGGAAATGGTAGGGGTAGTACATTAAAGCCTATTGTTTTCCCACTGCAATATTCTCTTGGAAAAGTTAATGCCACTGATTTATGTGAAAATCTGGCATATTTGTTGATTTTATTTACTCAAATTGACTTTAGCCTCACTATCATAATTGGTAATTAGTGGGTATTATACTTGAGGGTATAGAAAACTGTGCATTACACCAATTTTCTTCAACTTCCAGATTCAACAGGCTATAAATTACTGACACATTCTAGGGTGCTCATTTCTGTGGTCAATTAAAAAAAAATAGGAATCCAGAAATATTCATACTTGATTCACCTTAATGCTTCATATCCACAGGAATATTTGTTAGGTGTTTTAGTTATGCAAGATTTAGTTTACTCACATGCTAAAGGTTGAAAGAAGGATTTTCCATGTTTAGAGCTGTGTTTTTTATTATATGACTCCCTGAATAGGTTTATTTGCACAAGAATTTAGCAAACAGAGTCCAGTGAAAAGGGGAAAATACCATAATGCCATAATAACATTAGTCATAATGGTCCAAGCAGCCATTTAAGAGAAACCATTAGAAACAGAGTGAGGATATCAAAGACAGGACACTCTGATAAAGAAAAAAAATAAATATTATGAAAATTGTAGCAGATTATTAAAACAGCATCAACAATAGTTAAATTGGGAGCAATGTTTAATAGGTAGCTATGCAATTTTTATAGTGAAAATTTCCTCTGATGATAAGAAAACAGCATAATTTAGAGTAAGTCTCTAACAGAAACATTTAAAATGATTATTATGGCACTTTATCAGATTGGTCAAAAATTTTAGACAAATGTAAATAATAGTACCATGCTGACATGCTATAACAGAATTAACATTTCATTATTTTATAATACACTGAAATTTTGAGTACTGACATTTTGAAATGTTATTAACTTAAAACATCTTCCAAAAATGAGAATTATAAATAGATGCTTTCTTAAACTTACAGAAAAGTACAAATGTGCAAGAAAGGGAAACTATGTTCACTAAAGTTCTTCCCACCTGCCACTCAGGCCAGTGACACTGTCTCTGGAATCACCTGCTCTCCCTTCACCATCTCCGGGAGCCACACTGACAGGGAAACTGGGGTCAAAAGAGGGTGGCTGTGTGCTGGGTCCTCTTCCATGTGGATGCTTCTGGATTAAAGCTGATTAACTGAAGGCTCTTCTGACTTCGAATTCCAAAGTTTTATAAGAGTGGGGAACAATACTTTGGTTCCTTCATTTTAAGCAAATGCTCTTTGTTTTTTTTAAAGATCAGATTAACAGTAGAAAGTATGATCACTAATATTTAACTGACAAATGGGATTTGGGGCTAAGTAATAACTTTAGTAATATAAAATTCTTACATATTTATTCTTTATTCTTTCCAGAGGGTGGTATTAATTATTATTGTTAGTATAGTAGTAGTAGTAGTAGTAGTAGTAGTAGTAGTAGTAGCAGCTTTTCAACACCTAGTACTTAAAGGCTAAAGCTCAGATGCCCCTTTCCTATTACTTTCCTCCATCCCTTTATTTATGTTAAAATGCAGCTAGTCTATTCCAAGAATGGGGTCATGTGGCATAGCTGGTAAAGGAATAGTGGCTAGAATCAATCAGATTAGAATTTTCATTCTGGTTCAAGTGCTAGCTGACTGTAGAACCTAGGGTAGGACATTTAAACTTTTGAGATTCAGTTATCACGCCTACAAAATGACATTTCCTACTTAATAAAGCTGTTATGGAGATAAGGCTTAAAAGACATAATTTTTTTTTTTAAGATTTATTTATTTATTTATACAAGCACCCGGTACAGTCAGAAGCACGGGAGGGTGAGAGGATTCACCAGAGCCAGAGCGGGGAGCAGAACAGGCAGACCGACGGAAATACACTGCTGAGGGGAGCAGCGGGCAGCAGGAGAGGTCTGCACGCCATGTGGGACCCTCACCGGTAGCTGGGGATTGAACCAGTGCTGCAGAGGCTATGGGCAGCTTCACAACCCAGCGCTCAACCGCTGCACCACTGGGGAGGCCCACAGACATAAAATTTTTATTAGAGGGGCCTCCCTGGTGGTGCAAGGGGTTAAGACTCAGCACTATGAAGCTATCAGCAACTACTCCAGCTCGATCCCAGGCCAGAGAGGTGACCCACATGGCACAGCGGACCTCTCCTCTCTCGCCCTCTACTCTCCTCAACAGCGTGTTTCAGTCAATCCTCCTGTTCTGCTCCCCACTCTGTCTCTGGTGAATCCTCTCACTCCCCACACCTCTGGTCTGTACCCCAGTTCTTGTATGCATACATAAATAAATCTTTAAAATAAAAACCTTTTATTAGAGCTCCAGACATATAAGATGTGCTCACATATAGTCAGTTTGTAGCTTACTTTGCAGGTATACAACAGAAATACACACAGAAAGCCACTAGAAGGCCTGGGAGAGGCTTTCTTTTGAAGCAACTCTGCTCATACAAACACATCTCATAGGCTACGTGTTCACCTTATCCTCTACTCACCTCTGATTGAATCATCTACAATATAGCCAGATATTTGTGGTTCGTTATCATACTCTTCTGAATAGTCATAGTCGATGCCTGAGGACAGTTCGCTACCAGAAGGCATTTCACTCACAGTGGAAATTTTGCCTCCCGAGGACATCTCACTTCTTGATGTAACCTCAAATCCATCAGCACTGTGATCTCCAGAAAATGGTTCCCCTTTCTCAGAAGAGGTGTCATTGACCTCCAATCCAGCAGCATAATGGGCTATGGGAGAAAGAAAAGACAAGAAAAGAGAAGGTAATACAGAGTGCCTGTCTCAATAGTCAGCTGTATTCAGGAGAAATGTTTGTCTTCTGATACCAAAGCAGTTATTGCACATGTGCTATTGTTTGTGATTGAGTCACTTATGAAAGCAACTTCACATTTTGCCAACAAGCAAACTCAGCTGTTCTAATTACAGAGTTTCTTTCATCAAGGATTTCTTTTCCACAGATAGTCTACATTCATTTCCACACCAAAAAATACTGCTCAACAAGCAAATTAATCTAAGAGAATTACATAACAGGTAAAGCCTAAATATTCCCATCATCCAAATATTCTCATGCAAAATGACTTGTGTCTGCTGGAATGCTACCTGTCCGATTTAATACAGATTCTAAACATAAACATCACTTCCTTTACACCTGCTCACATTTTAAAAAGAGTATGTATATAAAATGTGAAAAGCAATTTAATGGTAGTGGGTAATCATTCTTATTGTAATATTGACACATTTTCACTGTTTTATAGTTTCATCATTATTGTTAGGTAGAGGAGAAGTTGGGTACTAGGTGGGATTAGGGATCCAGAGTCTCAAGTCTCAGCTTTATCTTTCAGGTCTCAGTTAAACGGTGTTAACGTCCCTGTGGGACCGATTGAGTCCCTCTAGGACAGAGGAGGTGAAGAATTTAGGCAGGGGCTGCACTCCTGGCTCCAGCTCCAGCACTTAACTCCTCTACTCTGCAGAAATCACTTTACTTCTCTGGAACGCTTTCGTCTTCTTTTAAAACAAAGAGTTTAAAGCTCACAAGATCTTTAAAGTCTCCTTCAGCTACAGTTGGTCAAAGTACATTATTTTCTCCAGCACCTGCACTTTCAGACCAGCCCGCTTTTTTCTACTTCCAAGGGAGTAACCTAAGGGAGGGAGCATCGCGAGGATCTCAAAAGGGACAAAGCTGGAGGTGCCATAGGGCGCTTGCTTTCTTTTCTTTCCCTTTTTTTTTTTTTTGAGAAACAACAGCAAAATTCAAGAAGCGGCAGCTTCTGGCCGCCGGGCCGCCCAGAGCTGCGAGGTCCTCACCTGAGCCGATGATCAAGAGCGACAGCACCACGGGCGCCGGCGGCAGCAGCGGGGCTCTCATTGGTCCCTCGGAGCGGCGGCGTCGCGGTCTCTGGGGCAACTCGGCCGGGAGCTGCTTGCTGGAGGAGGTGATGGAAGAGGGGGGACCAGAGCGAGTATGTGGCTGCGCTCTCAGGCCCGGCCGGGCTCCGGCGCTGAAGGCAGCGCGGGGAGCTCGCCTCGGGATCTCCGGGCTCCTACTGGGGCGCAGGCACAAGGTGTGAGAACATTCCCGAGGCGCGGCGCGCACCTGCCGCTTTATAGGCCGGGCGGAGACCCAGGCATGGCCCGTGACGTCACGGCCGCGGCCGTGGGTGGGGCGCCCCAGGGTTACTACCCCAAAACCGCACGGGGAAGGCAGGCGCCCCACCTCCCTTGAGCGGAGAGAGCCGAGGGAGGAAATGGAAATCCAAGCCCTAGTTGCAAGCAGAAAAGATACTCAGCGGCATTAGAGAGCAGAAGTGGACTTTGTTGGATTTGATAGTGATAGTGTTTCAATCTATGTGAAAAATCTCTGTAGTCTTTGGTTGACCGTAATGCAACAGGCAGGGGTTAATTATATAAGTTCCCTATTAAGATGTAAAAGTACTTTAGGATTAAGAGTGACTGATATCATTGACAAGGATAAATGAAGTTCATAGAATGACTGGAGGCGTTGTTTTATTTATGATAGGCTCATATCTCAACAAGGGCCCTTTACCAGGACTTCTGTGCAGTGATCAGAATTGCAAACCACCTTACTCCCTAATTCTTTATGTGACCCAAGGCCCTCATCAAAATTAGTATTTATAGGTCTTTTATTACTGCTGAGCTACACACTTAAAATATTACCGACTTCATCTCTCTCAATAACCGTGCTGGGTCAGTATCATTTTCCCTATTTTACAAAGAGGACAAAGGCATTTTCAGAAAGCAAGAACTTTTCACAGCTGGTCAAGGCAGAAGCCAAAGGGATTTTCGTTCATCTGGCCCTAAATCTCTCTTTTCACCCTGATTAAGGAATTTAAGCTAAAGGGTTCTTTGAAAAGAGACTTGCTGGATAGAACAATACATAGCCTAAGGGAATAATCTCTATTGATAGTTTATAGGCATTTGGATGAGGGGTGGTGCTCACACCTGTTTTTCTCAAATCCCTAGATAAAAGGGACACCTATGAGGACCCATTTAGAATCTAGCAGTTAATCTTGACAAGTACGGGAATTGAAGAGGGAGGGAGGAACTGCTTAATTTGACTTTGATGTAGAGACAACTCCAGAACCAGCTTTCCCTTGACTTGAGGAAGAAAAAAAAAAGCATTGTTCTCTCTCTTTAAATGTTACCTCGTCCCTAAAGATAAATATCTCTTCCCTGATTGTTCCAGTAAAACTGCCTTTTTTGGGAATGTGGATCACAGTGCTTCTCTCCTAATACTGAGAAACTTTAAAAACTACTTACTACTCAATGGTATAAAGTGGCTAGTAGACTAAATAGCATACACTCGGTAGATGGAATAAAGTCATGAATCATGCCTTCTCTCCTATTCAGCATTTGTTGAGAGCATATTTACTGTAATCCTCTATTATTTTTATATAGGGGTAGTAGATGGGAGATTAAATGATGAAAAACTCCATGCTCTCCAAAATCTCAGTATGATATGGGCCAGACAGGTAGAGAAGTAACTGTTACATTAGAGAATAAAAAAGTTCAGAATGTCCTGGAAAATGAGGATGCAGTTTAATTTTTCCCATGTGTATTATGAAATATTTTGTGAAAAGATGGAGAGACCAGTGGCCTGCCCAGCAGAAAGTTTAAATAGAAAGAAGATCTGATGACAAGGTATGACTGAAGGTGGCAAACAAGGGTAGAAAGATGGCACTGCCCATTCCGGAGGGTGGCAGGGGCCTGCAGAGTCATCATTTTGTTGGATGAGGTGATTGTGATTCAGACATTCAGAGCCTTGCCCTTAGATTTCAAAAGATGGTGGATTTTGTTTAGAGTTCAGACTGTCAACCCTATCTTGTTGCATCTTTCTGATCTTTTTGTTTTAGGCCTGTTCTTACCATTTTTTTTTTTACTTTTTCTTCTTATTGAGGTGAGTGCAAATTGTGCATATCTGTCATCAGAAATGTTTCACTTTCTGTCTGAAGTGGAAGTGTCCTCTTTACACTGGAAATTGCTCAGTCTTTTCCAAGTGAAAATTTAGAAGGTGATAATTTGCATTGTTCTGGAATATAACATTGCATCAGGCATGATGAAGGATAGCTAATGGTTAGTGTGAACTTTAGATTCAGCCAGTTGGGTTTTTACATATACATTCTACCACATACTATGTTCTAACTATTTGAAGTTTTATTTTTTTATTTATTTATTGTTGCATGGAAGTACTGGGGTATAGGTCAGAGGTGTGGGGGGTGAGAGAATTTACCGAAGGCAGAGTGGGGAGCAGAACAGCTGGATTTACTGAAACACACTGCTAAGGAGAGCAGTGAGAGGTGAGACAGGAGAGGTCTGCTGTGCTATAGGTGGGTTAGCTACCTGGCCAGCGATCTAATGCACTCTGTAGCAAGTGATAGTGCTGAGACTAAATCCCTATGCCACCAGGGATGCCTCTGTTCTGACTATTTGAAAGACTCAAATACCCCATTGAAAATAGGGATAAAGACGCCTGCTGTTCTCAAGTGAGGTAAAATATATAAACAAGTAACACAAATCCTAGTATATGGCAAATGTTCAATAAATAGTAATTATATTAATCCTGACATTATGATAATTACATTAATCACATTGAAGAACTAGTAACTTAAAAAAGGAGCTACTTACAAAGTAGTCTTCCAAATCTCAAGCCATGAACTTTGTACCTACTTCACATTAAGACTAACAATTTTGAACATTTTATGATGCATCATAAGGTAAAAAGGAGCATCATCATAATTGCATCATAATGAAGCATCCCTGATGATTCATGGCATTCTAGAATATATGCCTGAAAAGGAGACAAACCTCATTTAAGTGCAGGATTCTTTACATTCTGAATGCTAAACTGAGACAAAGAGGAAAGTTTTCAAGAAATTCAAGTATAGTTGCAACTGTTTATCTTGATAAATTGATGGTTCTCTTACCTCCTATGAGATTCAGGGTAGCTCTAAGGGCAAATGCTCTTGCTAACCACATAGTTTGATGTCTAATATCTGAATCCCAATAATATTTTATATAGAGTGGGAAAAATTTAACTAGACTCTGCTAAAATGTGTGCTATAGAACCAAAAGTGTGATTATGTGTTTGTTCATATAATTTATCTTGCATTTTTATAGATAGTACCAGAGTCTAAATATTATATCATGGTTATTTTTATGAGTCAACATGAATCTCAAACTACAATTAAGAAAATCTCCAATGCATAAGTAATATTGCCTGTATTATTAACAAATACATTTGTGCCACACTTTCCACCTTGGAATTTATCCATACTAAAGAACATATTATTTCTATTTCTTTCAAAAATAGGCCTTAACTGAACTTGATTGCTGAATACCTTAACATACTAGTAAAATCAAAGTACTTGCTTTGTGTTCTTGACATGATGACTTTTGCAGAGTCAGGATAGCAGATGGAACTGAAGGCAAATAGATAGCACCAAAAAATGAATCCTTTAGGTAGTTCATTTATTCACCATATTTTGAGAAGTAGGTACTCTTTGAGGCACTGGGAATAGAACTTCGAATAAGTCATTGTACAACAGGGTGGTCCCCAGGAAAGGGGGAGGTTCCAGGTTCCCTGCCCCACCCAGGGAAGGGTGGGGCTGAGTGGGGGAGGGGAAAGAAGAAACTGGAGAGGAGCCTGGAGAAGGAGGAAACAGGATGGAGAACAAGGAGACCTGGAGGAGGCACATGGAGCAGAGAGACACGTGAAGAAGGTATGTTTATTTCTTGGTCCTGGACTGGTGGAAACAGATGTGGGTGAGAGACTCCTGGGGAAGTTATCAATGGCAGTGTTCATCTTGATTTTGCAGCTTTTGTCCCAGATGTGCTGGACCCCTTCTGCCCCTTTTCCATGGGTCCCCACCAGGAGTTGCCTTAGACTTGTGGCAGACTTTCGGGCCTCAGTGGCTCTTCTTTGGGCCAACCCTGTTTGGGTGGACATTTACCAACGAGGGGATGGGTAACTTTGGGTGCTTGATTTGGTCAGAAGAAAAATGATTTGTTATATAATATGAAAAACTAGAAACATAAGTAGAACTTGCAGAAAAAGGAATTGGAAATGTAGTTATAAATTTTGTAAACATTGTGTGTCCCTCAGTATTCTTCCTGATATCAGTTATTTTGTCTTAAATCTGAATTTTTGTACTCTGAAATGATTTTACCATTTAAAGAAGATGTAATTTCACTCTAAGTTTTCTTCCCTTTAATAAGAATTTACCAAATCATTTGTTTTGGTTGTTTCTCAAGTTACTATTCCAAGATATCTTTAATGACTAATTGATAGATAATTATGGAATCCTCAAACATTACTTTGTGTGACTAAAAGGAAATTCTTGAAATTTCAATGGGACAATTTATTTGAGGTTATCCTGATACTGTATTTTTTATCTATTCCATGATAGAAAAAAAGGTTTAAAGGATTTTTTTAAATATAAAATTGTTGAAATGGTTCCATCTCAAAAATAGTATTTACTAAAATTCTTGTGTTTATTGAGATAGAAAAAAATAGAAACTTTGAAGATATGTTTTGCCTGGGATGACATCTATCAAGAAAGTCATACAGTTATTTTACTGTAAGATAGATTAGCATATGAAAACCTTAAAAAAAAATCTGTTAAATTTTATGGTTCTAAATTTTCCCAATTTGAAAAGCTGAAGATAAACCTACACTAGTTTATAAAATACACTTCATTTTATTTCCCTTACAACAAAATTGCAATCTTTATAGAATGATTAGTTTCAATGGTGTTTTCCAGGGACATAACTAAAACTTTATTTCTGCATTCTTATCCTGTAGAGGACTACAAAGACATACTCATACATGCACACATGCGTACATACATACATACACACAAGAAAATAGAATAATGTAAATGCAAGTTAACAATTTTAGAGAATCCATTATTTTTAAGAGTAAAACAAAGAAAATTATATAGGTAAATACATATTGACATTTAAAAATGTAAATAAATTAACAAAATGGTGTATGCCAATGACATTTTTAAATAATATATAAATAATATAAATTTCCCAAATAATTATGGGATGTTTATATATGTGCTAACAATGTTTATCTTTGAAAAAAATAAGCCAGTTAAAAAAAAACCAGTTGGGCCTTCCCTGGTGGCGTAGTGGTTGAGCGCTGGGCTGCGAAGCTGCCGGCAGCTTCTGCAGTGCCTGATGGATTCTGGCCACCAGCGAGGGTCCCATATGGCGTGACAGTCCTCTCCTGCCGCACCCTCTGCTCCCCTCAGCAGTGTATTTCTTCGTCAGTCCGTCAGTTCTGTTTCCCACTCTGGCTCTGGTGAATTCTCTCACCCTCCCACGCTTCTGACTGTACCCAGTGCTTGTATAAATAAATAAATAAATCTTTAAAAAAATAACTAAAATTTAAAAATTTAAAAAAAACAGTCTATACAAGAAGATGATATTCCAAGTAAACTGATTTGACATGATTGCTGCAATCATGTATGTCATCTTTTCCAATATGGATGTCAGCTTTGAAAAAATAGTGATCACTTAAGTCATCTGTTTTTCCGTACCATCTCTTATCCTTGTACAGTTTTTTTGCTCCCACATTTATGCTTTGTGGTGCAGTGATAGAATGGAGTGGAGTGGTTAAGTCTACCACCAGAGGTTGAGACTAGTAGATTTTGGTACAGCTCTTTCTCTTACCACCTGGGGTAAATTAATTAAATGTTTTGGGCTTCTCGGTTTCTCATCTCTAAAAGAGAAGATGATGGTAGCAATGGTATTAAGTCATTGGTTCTTGTGAGGCTTAAATACTATCAATAATACCTGTAAAACACTTGGGACACATATATCCTTTTATAAGTATTAAAAATATCTCAATTATTATTCTTAAATCAATAAAGTACTAGGAAATCAAATGAAAACATTTCCATACACATCTGTGGATAAATAGGTAAATTTTTTATAACTGTTTTTGTAACTGAAGAGCCTCTGCTGACTGTCACAGATAAACCTGTAGGAATTCAACACTTTTTTAGAACGATAAAGGCAACAAGAGTGAGCTCTCTTATTAAGATATTTTTTCAAATAGTTTGCATTGCTGACTCCAAAGACATGACATTTCTGGAGGATTTTATAATCTCTAAATTCTATATAAAAGATGTTTTTCTCAGGTTTTTTTTTAAGCTGTGCAATATTTTTCTACTGCTTGATGTTACCTACTATAATTTCCTAAAGCCATTTCTGCTATTGATGCATTGTTTATTACTGAAGTTTCTTCTTTTACCATAAACTAAACCAGCTGACACCAAAGCAAGTGGATAAGCTAATTTTCATTTCTAAGTACCATATCAAAAATATTATCACAATCTTTGCTCAATTTCCAATCTCACGATTAACAGAGCCCTAATATTATTCAGAATGGCAATATACCCAGCTAATGTATGACATTTCCCAAGTGTCTTGAACATGACGTCGATCATGTGACTAAGTTCTGCCATGAGAATGGGAAGCAGAAGTGACTAACCTGTAGGACTTGCACGCAACCTCTTGAGGGGTGTTGTTGAAGTGAGAACTGCATTCCTGTCCTCCTTCTCCCTTTATTTCTTTGCATTTGTCTGTAATAGGGACATTTGACTGCATCTCCCAGAATCAGACTGGACCATGAGTCTGGATCTTGGAAACAGGTGCTAAAATGATGAAAGAAAAAGACAGAAGGATCCAAATCCTTGATTTGGAGCTGCCACACCAGCGCTGTACTCTTTACATTTAGACTTCTTTTATTTATTTAGGAGAAAGAAACTTTTATCTTTTAAGCCAGTGTTATGTTTTCTAATATGCAGTTGATCCCAATACTAAATGTTTTGGTAATCCATAAACACTGCCTTATTCATTATGATCTTCAACATCCTCCAGCCAGGCCCACCACAAACACAGCTAAATAGTTGTAGGGAGGGAGAATGTACACCAAGGAAAACCACAGTTATCTCTGTGAGTGTCAGAAAGGACATATAGATTTGGGCTTGTGTTGGGTGACTTGGGGAAAGTTGAAGGACAAAGATTTTCTCTGAAGTAGATGCTGTCAGGCAATGGAATAAATCTGTAATGGGTATCTTTTTAAATGTTCCATAGAAGAAAAGAGAGTAAAGCTGTAATTTAAAAGAATCAGCAGTCACTGATATTAGTTAGAATAGGAGGATATTTGTTCACTGTTTTGTGACTGCATAATGTTCATATTTTGTCTGTGTTTAAATATCATTACAGAGTGGTCTTGCGTTAGCCATAATCCACCATGGTCCACAGTGGAATTGTTTGATGTTGATGATCTGTGAAATTATTTACATTCAAAAAGAGAACATCAAGGCCAAGGTGATAGTACAAGTCCAGATCCTGATGTAATGGGCTCCTTTTTTCTTTTTCATTTGTAATAGTATTTGGTGCAGGGAAGGGACCCAATTATGTTGGGACTCAGTAAACAGTTATGTTGGTTGGATGAATTATCAAGTGTCTAATAAACAAATGAAGGAAATCTATTTATTGTCTTCATTTCACAGTTGCTAAGTTATCATTTGAATGAACATCATTTTTTTAAATAAAATTTTCCACTTAAGAAAATTGGGTGGTGATTAGGTTAATGATTTCCAAAGCTAAAATTACCTAGAATGATAATTAATCATTTTCA